TTGGCGCCGTGTAAATTGCTTTCTGCTCCATTCGGTCAATTTGTGGCGCCACGCTTTTGTAGGTGAAGTGCGCCACCAAACAAAAGAAACATAAGATTTTTGGAGAGACGATTTCATCGGCTGTCCGAAAAAGCTTACATAAAGAACGCTTCTTCATTTTTAAAACCATGTTACAAAGCAATAACATGTACACAAAGGTGTAATGTGTCACACTGCCCGAGATCGCACCAAAGCAACTGGTGGCGTCACTTTTTGATGATGTATTGTACCACCAGCATTTCACAACAAAGTTCGAAACCACTCTCACATCCACAGGTTAGGAATGGATATCATGCACACTATTGTAACACTATAGTTACATAAAACATGTATGTAAACTAGCTAGTGACATATTATACCACACTAGCAAACCCGACATTATGCATAGAGCTATATTTGACTACATGAAAACATGTACAATGTGGATAGGAAACGACATGATAGAAACAACTGGCATGCTAAAAGACTGTCCAGACACTGTGCTGATCTGCAGTATGATCCCGAACAGGCTTCAAGTTCTTCCAACTATCTTCGTTTTTCGATTTCCCGACTACCTACATTTACGTTTATGCCGCTGTCTGCAAAGCTGGTGATATGCCTTGGAATGTAATAACTGTAAAAGACGTTTTTGTCATATTTATTAAGGAAATATTGTAAACCGATTTCTTGGTCATGATAATCGTTCCCATGTCATACGTGTTTGTAGTTATGCCCCAGGCTCATTAATATTTTCGGTTTCTTCTAATGATGAAGCCTTTTTGAACATGATTGTGGTTACCTTCATCTGTAATACCCCCCATAACCCACATTCAAATAAAGTGGAGACTTTTCGTATGATTCACTAGCTCTGCTTGCAGTTATTTATATAACCAACCTTCTGCAAATGTTTACAATAGCTTCAAAATCTTCAGGTGCAATTCTCATAACTCTTTGTGCGTAGATGTTTAAACAAGGATGCGGTGATAGGATACACCCTTGTATTACTTCCTGCCTAATTGTGAAGTCAGTCATTCCATGGAAGGTACTAACGGAAGGAGCCACGACGCTATTGTTTTAGCTTTACCCCATGATCGTTTGTCATTGTTTGTTCACAAACATTGGTTCTCGTTAGCTCTTAGCACCTTCGTACAATGGGTTATGCTAATCTTGAGCATTCGGTAATATTCGGAGCATGTTCGGAAGCGATAGTCGAACCTCGCATGTACAATATTGAAAATGGCGTCTAGTTTGAATGCTGTTGTTTCCGGAGATCTTGGCGAACTTTAATGGAAAATTGTCAGTCAGATATAACATTGATTGAAGAAGAACTGATGAAATACCGCGAATTTTGTATTTGTAATGGTAATGAGACTTAATCAATGATTGCTTGTGACGATTGCATTATTCAGTGCGTGGATTTGGCGCCCGAAACTGTCGAAATTTTTGACCACCGGACATCGGCGAACACCACCAGAAAAGATAGTATCGAAAGAAGAGCATGTCTAGACACTTTCTCTGTGATAATATTTTTTAGGAGTCCTTAGGAATTGTTGCAGTAGGCACTCGAAATCTTGTTCTAGTTACAGTTGCTAATAATAATTAAAACATGTGAAATTTGTGAAGTCAAACGTTTATCTGTTGAATTTCCGCTTGAGAAAAACGTATTTTGACCTTTCACACCTAAACAAACCCAGTGCGCATGTGTGATGACCGTAGTTTCAAAATGCGCATATATTTTATAGTCACAGATAGATAGATAGATAGATATTTTATTTGACACAAAATTTAGCATGAATGAAAAAAACATACAATAAATCAATGGTCAAGAAAAACACAAATAAAACAATAGACTAAACTAAAGCTTAGAAATAAAATCAATAAATTTTCCCAAGCAATTGACAATGAAGCTATCTTTAGTGCCTAGCAAGCACTTGAATTTCTCATGAGTTGATAACTTGCAAATGTTATCATCATAAATTGCTAATTCAGCTTCAAATTTAGTACGAGCTTGTACAATCTGACTATTTTTACATGTGAGTAATACATGAAATTCATCCCCAATAGCCTGTTCATTACATAGAAAACAAAACCTTTGCTCTGGAGGTGTTTTATTATATCTAAGTTTTTCAATTGGCAACGCGTGAGAAGAAATGCGAAACTTAGTGAAGCTGACCCTGTGTTGCACATTTTTGATTTGTTCTAAATATGGTTCAAATTCAAAATTTTGTTTAAACTTGTTAAAAGTACGTAGCTTATTCTTTTCTGGTTTAAATACCGTTGGCAACCAGACTTTATTATAGTAAACTTGTTTGAATTTGGTTTTGAATTCTATAGTGTTAGATTCATCGCTAATTTTAGTTAATGTGAATAATCTTTTAACAAATGCTG